TATTCAACAGGATTTAAACATCAATACTGCATCAAAAACTTATAAACATTATGTTGAGATAGCTATGCTCGATTAACTAGTTTTAATGAGGCAAATTCTTTTTTAACACTTATTAAATCCACAAGATAAATCTATCCAATATACATGTGAATACAAAAGTGCTCGACACCAATTAAATTTTAATAAAATTGTATTTCAACCAGTCATTCCCATAACAAATAGAGTTTTCCATACACCATAAGGATGCAATCACAGACGTACTTATAAAACCAAAATCATCTATTTCACCAAGTATTGCAGTTACTTTTAAAGGTTTTTTTAGCTAGAGCATACAAAATTTGTTCAGAATATAACATTCAAGGTATAATCAATTAACTTATTAAGTTATTTGATTTTATCTTATTAAGTTATTTGATTATAACTTATTTACTGAAAATAGTCATTCCTATAAATAATATTCAGATTGCTAAAAATTATATTTATTCCCCAAATCCATCTTATTCTCAAAAGAATGATACCCAAAATCTAGTTATTTTACAGTGGGTCTTAAGATTAAACCTATTTCTTTTAATAGAATTTTATAAAGTTGGCATTAAAACACTCTTCCATTTTGGTAATCTCTTGATTACTATACTGCGTATTAAGTCTAAATTGCCTCCAAATGGTCATCTGGAAGTGCACCAGCTTGATTGCACATGTGGTGAATGTTATATTGGTGAACAAGAAAAAAAGATTTTCACATGAATTCAAGATCATAAAATTAATGTTACAAAAGCCAACCGGGATGCATCTGGAATAGTGGAACATACACATTGTAATAGTAGAATAAACTGGGAGAACCCTAAAACACTTTCTGTTGTTTCAAACAACTAAAAAAAAAAACTTGTAAGGCTAATGAAATACAACATGTGCAATGTTCAAAACCTAAAGAAAACATCTTAGATCGTGACAATGGTTATGTGGTGATGATTCACCATTGGAAACCCCTTTTGTAAGATTAAAAAATCTTGAATACCTGACGTTGCAATGATATCATTTTGTTACGTTCATAATAATTGTTATAATTACTTCTTAAACTTGTAATTGCGGCATTGCAACATAACATTTGTAAATATTATTACTTTTTAAACTTGTAATTGCAGCTTTGCAATATTATGTTTTTTTTTATTTTTAAAAAGTTAGTGAGTAATAAATAAAAAATATAACTTATTTCAAAAATAAAAACTGTATTTAATTAATTTACTAGCGATTATTTTAGGTTCTAAGCTTAATAATATATATATATATATATATATATATATATATATATATATATATATATATATATATATATATATATAATTATATGACCATATATATAATTAAACGACCAGGGTTGATATTTGACTGGGGCCGGGTTTGATAAAATACAGCCGGGGCTGTGATAGGTTTGTGACCAGGGCTGCATAAACATTTATACACCCTAACTTACTTTTTTTTTTTTTCAAAATTTATGATTCATTTTATATATGTGTGTTTATAAACATCATTATGATCATCATCATGATCATCATCATCATCATGATCATCGTCATCATAATTGTCATCATTATTATTATTGTTCATCATCATTATTGCCATCATCATTATCATTATTATTATCATCATCAGGCTTGGACAGGAATGGCATGCGATCGCACTTTGTAACTGACCACGCTAATATTATTTTTTCTTTACAACTTGACTACGGCTATTTTGATGTTTTAACAATTTAAATGCAATAAAAAAAGTGTTTCATAATGAATAACTTTTAATTGTTGATCTTTTCTAAAGTTTTTATTTTACGTGAAGGCCTTAAATAAAACCATAAAATTAATAATAATGATTGTTGACATCAACGCATGTGTTAATTAATAAAAAATGTGATATAAAAATCTTAATATTAATTAATAAAATCTTTTAAACAAACATATTTTTTGAAAGTTTTTTTTTTTTTAATTACGAAAGAAATGAATGAGTTTTAATCTTTAATAATAACTTTTATTACGTGAAGTGCTTATTAATAAAGTTGTAACTAAAATGAAATTAAATTGCTTGTTGACAGTTTATTTTAATTAAATTGCAGCCACATTTTTTTTCCTTCCTATTTTAATGAATAAAAAAATTGAAAACCTTTTTTTAAGGTTAACTCACTAATTAGAACATAAAATTATTAAAAATTACTATTTAAAAAAAAACTACGATATTTTTTTCAACAGTTTTTTTTTTGTTGCAATTTTTGTTGATTTTATTTTAAAATGTTATATACAACACTTTTTAATAAATTTGATCATTTATTAAACTATCATTAGAAGTAATTTGTTACTTAATTTAAAAGCGATTTAAAAGTGTTTTGAGTAACTTTAATAAAACGTTAAAAATAAGTTTTAATAACATTTATTTCAAACGTAATTAAATATGCAACAAAATGTTTTGAGTTTAATTTTTTATTTTTACTTTTGTGCTTATATAATTTCTTTTTCGTAATAATTTTTTTTCCTTTCTTTTTTCGTTTGTTTTTTTTTAACTTTTTTTTTCAAAGTTAATGTTTAGTTTTGCATTTCTACATTCAGCACATTTCTGGAATGTTTGTCATATAAACAATAGTGGTAAAGTTGTCTAAAAATAAAATAATTTGCGTGGTCAACAATAGCGCTCAATCGCACGCCATTCCTGTCCAAGCCTGCATCATCATCATCATTATCATCAACATCATCCTCTGCTGCTGATGAAGACATCATTAGGCTTTAGCCTTCTTTTTTTATGCTGTTTCTCTAATCATAGTCAATCCTCAAATGAACTATTATAATAAACCAAAACTCATTCTTGCTTGGTTTCTTATTCAATAAGTTGCACCCTTTTACTGTATCTGTTTGTATTTATTAAATACTACCGTAAATATATGCTACAATTTAATAAATAGTAAATGTAAGTATAAAATTATAATATATAAAGAATTATAAATTTATTTCTAGCCCAGGCTATCAGCCCCTGGTAAATTTTATAATTTTGCCGGGGCCGAATTTGCAAAAAGTCTCATTTTTAGCCGGGGCCAGAACCCCAGTCACTAATATATATGTTAAAAAATTGTAAAAGGATGTTAAAAAATTTAAATAGAAAAAATATTTTTTGATGAAAATTGATGATGACACCAATCATAGTGTGATCTGTGTCATTTGGTATAAAAACTGTTATTAAGAAAACCATTATATAAAGACAAACCTTTAAAAAAATTAAAAAGAGCATAATATCATAAATAATAGGTTTTTCAAATGCTGATATCAACTAATTAAATAAAAAATGCGCCCCAATCCTTTGTTACCACATTATCATATTAAGAACCATTTCCCAACTTCTGACAAACTTAAGCCCTGCATATTTCAAGTGAAGGGTCATCTATAAAGTATGTACACTAATAGGGGGAAGGGGAGAGGTTTTGCCTTTAGCAAACTAAAGTGTACAGAGAGGGGGGATGGAGAAGAGCACAATATAAAGGTATGCACTAATTTATACACTAATTTAAAAAAATATTCCAAGGTAACATTAGTTTTTCTAATTTATCAGAATTAACAAGTGTTTGTTCATAAATAAACATTTTTGAATAAATAAAAACTTAAAAACAAAAAATTAAACCATACCGTCTCATCAATTAAACAAAACTTAATTTTCAAACTAAACATCTCAGTCAGCCAAATTAAAAGAGCATATGCATTTGGGAGGGAGATAGTGACCAGACAAGTTAGTATTTCAGGAATCATTTTTTCTAAGTCAACAAAGAACTATTTTTTAATCTATTGTTTTAAATATTACTTGTTTTGTTTAAAACTTGTTTTTACAGTCTTACTAAAGAGGGGTGCCTGAAATACGTGTCTGTCTTGAGTAAAGTTAATATATTTAATTTGTTTTTAAAAAATAAGGTTTAATGGCAACTCAGTTTTGAAACCTTTGGCATTGGAACATAAGGCATTACCCATTTAGCCACACTTCTTACAATAAGGGTAAATTAATGTAAAATTTTGTACATTTATGTCTTCAAAATTAGGATTCAGCAAAAAAGATGGAGGGCCATTTAAAATTTTTGAATAATATGATTGAATACTTTTTTCTTATACTAGCTTTCAAAAAATGAGGTTTTGTTAAAATAGAAAGTATAACAAAAGTTTGGGTAATTTTTTATTCATTTTCTTTTTCCGAAAAAAACATTTAACTTTGTAAACTGTAGAATTAAATCAACATAAAAGTCAGCAAACATATATCTTTATACACCACAGTAGATATACATATGTACATACATAGTTTTTGCTAATTTAAGACCATTTAAAAATTGTTTTTAAGATAATGGTAATCAAACAAAATAGGCTGTGTATGATACAGAGTGTGTTGCATAAAATATACATTATTATTTAATCTTCTTTCAAGTCAATTACATAAATAGAGATCCTTGTTGTTTTTTTTAAGGTACCATTTAATTTAGTTTAGATATAAGTATCTATATCATCGTCATATTAGATCAAAGAAAAAGCAAACTCAAGAAAAACAACAGAAAACTAATGATACAAAAACGTTCATAACAAAGCAAATAACTTTTTTGATTTTACAAACACAACGGTCTTTTTATTACAAGATTTATAAATCACTTTTATACAAAAAAAAAAAAAAAGTTAATTGATTGTTACTCTTTTTTAAATTTCGCGTATTTTAGTTAGCTTAGAATCTTAATCTTTGTTTTTTGTTTATTTTCAACATTCGTAAATTTTCTTGTATAACAAAATCTCTTTTTTTTTACAGTATAAAAAAATCAAGTATTCAGTTGTATTAATCACACTTTGAAATAGGTGATCGATAGTATTAATCATGTTAAATTTGACACAAAATATAAATCTTACCCAACTCTTTACAGATGCCTCTTTTGATTCACTGACGTGTCGTTGTATTTTTAATATGAATATTGATGACGTAAGTGTATAAAAAAAATAGTTTTATCTACTATGTTTCAACTAATTTTTTTTTATTTAAAAGCAATTTATAAATAATCATTTATAGTTTGAAAACGCATAGTAAAAATAAAAATATCATTTAAATTAATACAAAATTAGTATTATAATTCAAAGTAAAAATAATTGTAATAATTATTTTAAAAAACTATTTGACATTTCATTTTAAAAGTTGTGAAGTGTTCTGCAAAATTCAATACTTGCGTAAACAAATCGTAGTTGCAGCGTAAATCTTCGGGGAAAAACTTGTTTTAAATTAATGATTTTTTTCACTTAACGGTTTGATTTATACAAATAAAGAGAGTATTTATATCTTTCTGATCTTTTAAGCAAAGAAGTTTTATAAATATTATTCAAGTACATTAAACATGAAAGAATATGTCAAATAAACTCAACATTTATGTTTATTTTTTTTTTTTTACTGAGAAAAAAAAAATAATTTTGACCAACTCTCCGGTAAAGTGGTCACCAAAAAAATTTTCAAATTTTTATTATAATTTAATTTTTGGAATTTTTTTTGTTTTATAGCGATGTAATTTTATTATAAACATTAGCTATTTTGAAATATTGACATATTTTGAATTATTCCACTTTATTTAAACCCAGCAATGGAAATTTTGGTTCATAATTCTTCTCTTCTCTCCCTTCCGAGCTAACTCTTCCTCTCCCTTCCGAGCTAACTTCTCTTCCTCTCCCTTCCGAGCTAACTTGTTGAGTGACTGTCGGAAAGACTTGGACCTAATGCTTCCGACATTGTTTCAACGTTGGTCTAACATAGTATGCCTGCTGGGTAAGCCTTAATTTAATTTTGTGTCCGATTTGGTCAATCACGCATTCGTTTAGTAGGTCAGCATGGTTTGCTATAAATTAAGATGATAACAGTGTGCGAAATTTTCTGAAGTTGTATTGTTTATCATACAGTAAAAAGTAATAAATTGTAATCGTATTTGCAAACCTTTATAATTTTTATACTGTGTAGTACTACTTATCAATTTCGTTTTAGTAGAATACTATATGTAATGGGAAGCAGGGCCGCCGAGAGAATAGGGGGGCAAAAAGGACAGTCTATTGTTGACAGTTTGTTTTGTTTTGTAGGTTCTAGTATTTTCTAAATTTCAAAATCCATATAAGTATTAACGGATCAATCTATCAAGGCAAAAACAACACAAATTAAAAATAATGTTAAAAGTCAAACTTAATGGTTTAGGCAAAAAACTCATCACAAGCTTTTCAGATGGCTCACGACAAAAATGAGAATTTATTTTTGCTAAACAGTGTGGTGACCACTGTTTCATAAGACCAATGTGTTAAATTTTAAGTCTTTCAATAAAAATGAAAAAATTATTCTTTACCATTGCACTAATTTTCATGATCAGTTTCATTTCCACGTCTCATATATCCTGTTGATCTTTTTAGTTGGTACAAATAAAATGATAAAACTCTGTAGGAAACAGTAATTACACGCCAAAAGTTAATTTATCAGTCTAGATATATGATATCATTAAAAATAAGTTTAATAAAATAAGCATTAACTAACTTTTTGAAACAATTATAATAAGGGACTCAACAGTATTATATTGTTAAGATCACTAAAACCGTTTTTATTCACAAAAGTTTACTTTAAGTTAGTAATAAACTCAGTTGTATTATATTTTAATGAGAGAACTGTTGGTGTTTAACGTGTTTTAAGTCTCCTCAATCTTGAGGACTCTATTCAACACGGTTGCTTTTAAGTTATAGTGCTCATATATTATCTTTCCTGGTTGTTCTACAACAATTAAGACTAAAATAAACAAATGTACATTCAGAGGCGATTCTACGGGTGGGGGGGAGGGATTAAAGTTTTACTCTCTCTTTACCCAATGAAAGCGGTAGTCGGTTTTTTCATGAATTTAGTCGGCTCGTCGGGTATTTGAAAATTTAAATCGGAAGATTTGAAAAAAAAAAAAAAAATAGTTTTGAAAACTATTTTTTTATTTTATTTTAGCAAATTGAAATAACAATTACGTCCAAAAATGCGACTCTCATCTATCTCATTTTATAATTTAAGTTTGAACAGGTCGTTAATAGAATAGAATTTACTAGGACTAGATTTGAAAAAAATATTTAAAAGTTGATGTATGTAAAAGCTCCTAATATTTAACCAATAAAGAAAGTAAAGTAAAAAGTAAATTAAACCTCCTGGTTAAATTAAACCTCCTTGAAAACATAGTTCGTAGTCATTTTTCGTGGTTGTATTTGCACTTATAAAAGTTTTTGTATATACATAAACCAAAGCATTTACTGTAATTTACATCAACCAAATTATTTATCCCAGCATACTAGACCACGGTCTAATTAGCATGTGTAAATTCTCAGCAGAGTTTCAACGCGGGTCTTTATACCTTTACATCTGAGTTTGTTTCGTAGCAAAGAACTTAAAATGGGCTTTGGAGATTTGAAGACTGATGCTGGCATTAAGTCATTGAATGAATATCTTGCCGACAAAAGCTATATAGAAGGGTAAATAGTTCAAAGTTTTTTAAATAAGATATAAGTTGACAACTAAAGTTTTTCAAATTTATATTTTTAATTTATCCCTTGCAGTTATCATCGAACTAGTTTTAACACTAATTTTTATTTGTTCGGACCCCTTTTTTTAAATCTTTTAAAAAAGTTAATAGTTATGAAATTATTTAGTTTTTTATTCAAAATTTTTTAATGTTGATGTTCTTTTTAAATTTGTGTACGATTTGATTTAATCATTTCAGTATTTCATTTCAATATTTCATTTCGAACATTTTAAAGTTATAATTTGTCTTAAATCAGCCTTTTAGAAAACAGCATTCCTATAATTAACTTGTAATAATTTTTGTGTAAACATTAACTTTTTTCAACATTTTAACTACACATAACTTACTATCAAAAAATAAGACAAAAATCTTATTCATTAGTTTTGTAAACGTTTACAAAAGTAATGAACAAGTTTTTGTTTACTGTTTAAAAAATTTACTACTTACTACTGGTTACTTGTTTAAAAATTTTACTACTTACTACAGTATTACAATTCATTTTGGTTTATAAACCAAAATGAGTTGTAATACTGTAGTAAGTAAGTATTAAATTTTTTATTTTTGCTATTTGAAAGCAAATAAGCCATTTAAAAGAATATTTTTATCAAAATTAATCTTTTTTCAGTTTTGTTTTTTGGTTTTAATTTAGTACTATTTTTAAGTTATTAATAAGTAGTAGTGTTTTTGCTAAATTAAAAATCACATTTGTTCACAACAAAATTTTAGTCTTGAACATAATTTTATTTCTTTTTTTTTTTTGACATTTGTAATGTTCTTTTTGATAACTTACAGTCTATTTAATACACTTTATTTTATTGTTTTAAAATTTATTAAGTAGTTGTTTTTGTTCTCCTTAAAATGCAGAGGTTGTAATCCAAAAGTTTTCCTTTAATTCAAAATGCATGAAAATCTACTAAAATATAATGGCTATAATTTTTAAATTAACACCTAATATCTGAAGTTCATAAACATTAAGTCTAGTACCCAAATTTTTGAAATGGTTTGAAGCAATACATTTATTTTTTAGATATGTTGCTACTCAAGCAGACACAGCGATTTTAAAAGCTATTGCTTCTGCTCCAAATAACAAATATCCTCATGCATTGAGGTGGTATAACCACATAAACTCCTTCACTGTTGGAGAACAATCAAGGTTCAATTACTGTTTGTTATTATTAATATAAATTATTTTAAATGCAAATTGTAATAATAAATAAATTATTTAAAAAGTGTTTGTTCAGTTTTCCTGGAGAAACAAAGGATGCTGTTGAATATGGACCTCGAGGTACTGAGCAAGCTAAAGTAAATGATGACGATATTGATTTATTTGGTGATGAAGAGAGTGAAGAGGAGGTAAAGTGTTATTATTTTATTAATTTATCCAAATAACTGTTTGTATGGCTTTTTTTAGTTTAGTATAACATGTTGTTACTGTGTATAGGTCATAAAGTATTGCAGGTAGTAATACAGAACACAGCAAATAAAGTGTTTTCTTAAATTTCTTATACTTCTATTAGTACATTATTTTAAATGAATAAAAAATCTTAAATAGGTTAAAAGAAATGCCTTAAAGTATCATCATAAAACACTATATAAAGTGTTATTATTTTTTTAAATTTAACTGATTTAACTGTCTTAAAATTATAGTAAAGTTTAAAAGTTAATAAATTTTATTGTTCTAATATAACAGTAAAGTTGAAATAAAGGTTGTCATAACGATTTTAAAATTTTTTGCCTAGCTCTTTTTGAATTTTATTGCTGCAAGATTTTTTTTTTAATATTTGTTTAAGTGCGGCAATGTTTATCATTAAAGACCAACGAATACTTACAACATGTCAATGCCTTGCTCTATAGAAGAATAGGAATACTTCAAGGCAATTCAAGCTAAAACAAAGTTAAAAGTAAATTCCTATTTATGGTAACTGAAATTTTCAATACCACATGCAAATTCTTTCAACTGAATGTAAACAACAAAACTATCATTATATATGTTTTATACAATATCAATCATTTCTATGCAAGATTTTCTCCTTAATGTTATTAAATTTAAAAAAATCATGTTCTCTAAAGCTATTTAGTGTTATTGCTTATACTAGTTAAAAAAATTTTGTTGATCTGGGTTTAAGAATGGGTTACCTTAGAGAGTTAGCTTTAATGTGAAGATAGATCACAGTTGGTGGTTCTATAACATTTTTTTCAGAATAAAATGTAAGATTTGTATTCTATATGCTAATAAAGTCAAAAAACATCTTTGTACTTGTTTAAAATCAGAATTATTCTAGGGATAATCTTTATCTATCGTTTCCTTTCCATATTCATTACTAGGAAATCAATAAGCTGGCACCTTTGCAGTTAATGGTGCATAAAATTTATGCACATATAACCAACATTTTTGAGGCATAATTTATAACGTGTTTGATAATCATTTTTGAGGCATAATTTATAACATGTATTAGATAATCATGTTTTTCTATCCTGAAACATACCAGAACTGCGAATATTATAGTTCAGTGTAAAAAATGTTACACGTTCACCTAAAAGTTGTGTTTTTACTAATCACTGTTAAGTGCAATTCATAAAATGAAAATTATTCCATGTCAATCTAGCCATATGCAAACAGCCTATTTAATACTATTTTAATACTATATATTACTCTAAAATAACAACGTAATAATCAATACAAGCATAATATTTTTTTTAATTCTGCACAAGCAACTGAAGAAAGTTCCATCTAACATCTTTAAATTTAAAAAATTTTTTTTTTTTTTTGCTGACTTATTAAATGTTTAAGAAATTTTTACTTTAATCAGTTAAGCTTGTTATGCAATATGATTCTTAATTCTATTTTTTATATGTAATATGATGGTAATAAAAAATTTACCTGTGTTACATTTAAAAATTTTCAACTCTACAAATATCATGTATAATTGTTATTTTAAAATATTAGCTGCAAGTAAATAATTTAAACATAGAGATTTAAAGGACATAGTAAAGATGTAAAGAAAGTCTTACAGTTGAGCCAGAAATTATATTCATTTCAAATTTTTTTTATAAATATACATTGATGTGCTATCAATTTTATTAAAATATCTTTGTAAATTTTGTATTATGTAGACAGAAGAGGAAAAAAGAATTAAAGAAAAACGACTAGCTGACTATCATGCAAAGAAAGCTACAAGTATAAATTTTGTTTAAAAGTCTTTGGCTTTTGAAATTGTTTTGAAAGCAATTTGTTTTTAAAAAGTTTAAAATTTTTTTTAGAGACTGCCCTTATTGCAAAATCAATGTTAGTTCTGGATGTAAAACCGTGGGACGATGAAACCGGTATTAACAATTATTATAATATAGTTTTATAAGATAAGTGTTGTTAAAGTAAATTATTAAAACTGCTCTTGAAGTCTTTATTTATTTTTAGAATTTTTTTATATTTAATATTTACAGGATAATATAATATTTATAAAATAATGTGGGTTCTCTAGTCATCAAATATTACTTATTTTATGATACAGTACTTTAAAAGCAGTTGTTTTGGTTCACAATATTCATGTTATGTTAAATGGCTATTTTCAAATAGTTTCATACACTTTTGATATAATTTAGATTAAATTATTTTGCCCGTTGATTATATGATTTCACAATTAAATGAATTAAAATGTGATTGCATTCTGCAAATATGAGGGCAGTTGTTGAAAATATCAAAAATTGAATACATTTATTATGTTAATGTTTTAAAATAGTGTAAAAAAAAAGTAACTTTAGCTTCATCTGATAGAATGTTTTATTTGGGTAGCTAAATGGTCACTGTTTGGTTGTACAAACTAGAGAACTTTGAATAACCATTAGTCAAATAATTTTAAAGTGGATAAATCAAACATTAGGTGATAAGATATTTAAAGGTAAGCCAGCTGAGTAAAGATGAGCCAGCTGATCAACCACAAATGGAAGGACCTCAACCCTTATTGTTAAACCCAAATGTTTTAGCATAATAGAGAGACTTAAGGGTCTTTATCAAGATCCTTAGGTTTCTCTGCTTGGTTCTGAGTTTCAACCATTAATTTCTAAACTAGTCTTTAAGAGCAAGTCCAAATGAACATAATGCCAATAGAGTTGACATTTTAGTGTATAAAAAAACTAACTTCAGTAGAATATAAAATCCACAGTTGTAATGCATCCTGTGAGTTGAATCAGTTTGATTTGTCCGTATGAAGATTTTGATATTAATACACCCTTATCTACACAGAAACTGGTGCACCCATATCTACATATAGATGTGGGTATATTGATTCTGTAACTGTCAGGACCCTCTGCATCTAATAGGAAATCTAGATCACAGGCATTTTTCTCTTCATAAAATTTATTAAAATTAATAAACTAAAGATGTTTTTTGGTATTGATAAATCAAACAAACTATTCTTAATTTTTTTTTTTTAAATAGTAAGTTTTTGCAACTTTTACTCTTCATAAGAATAACAATAAGTATATGATTTGATTCTTAAGTTTTGAGTAATAATTGGGTTTCTAGAATTTGTGGAAATATTATACAATAATAGTGATCTTTCAACTAACAATTTTTGATTAAATTGCAGTATATATTAGAATAACAATATAAATGCAATTTTAGTTGTTTGTAATTCAAAAAAAGTTATAAAAAGTATTTTAATTAGGAAATTAAAATGCTGAGGGTTAAATAAAGGGTTTTGGACATTTACTGAAGAGTAAAAATTAATTTGAGCTTAGACAAGAATAATAAACTTTCCATTGTTTAAATGTTTTATTGTGTTCAATTATTTGTAGACATGGCAATCTTAGAAGAAAAGGTTCGCTCTATCCAAGCTGACGGTTTACTTTGGGGAACAAGTATATATTATTTTAATGTTTATAATTATATTATTTAGTAAAAAACAAATTAGTAAATTATTAAAAGTTTGTTTTTATTTTTGCTTTCATTTTTATTAAAATAATTTGTTATATTAAGGTAAACTCATGCCAGTTGGTTATGGAATCAAAAAACTCCAAATCACTGCCGTAATCGAAGATGATAAGGTAAACAGAAATTTTTTACTTCTTTGAATCTGAAATTTTAAAGTTTTGAATTATTTCTTTTAAAAAACTTTTCTTTTAACATTATTATTTAAGAATGTTGCCTAATGATTATATGATTTCACAATTAAATGAGTTAATAATGATTGTATTCTGCAAATATGAAGGCAAACCTTTTTGGTGTAAAGTAAGGAATTTAAAACAGTATCATGACACTTCAATGTATTTTGTTTTTGATCTGAGTAGCATTTAATATGTAATAATAACAAAATAATGATGCCATTTGTCTTTATTTTTATTAGGTCAGGCATTTCTTACAATATGCATATGTCATAATATTATATACAATTATCACTTATACCTTTTTTTTATTATCATTTTGATAAAATAGGCTTATTACTAAAAAATTTCTTACTTTCTGAGTTTTAGTACAATTTCCTAAGTCTGTTACATATTTTACAAGTAATCAAATAGAACTCCATCATATTTAAGTGCAATGAAATTGGATTCTATTAGGTGCTAATTGGATACTCTGAATTTAAGTGCATGTTTTTTTTTTTTTTTTTATAAGCATAACGTTTTTTTTATAAGCATATGGAGGCTCAGATTTGGAAAAAAAATAAGCATATGTAGCATATTCCTGAGCCTTGATAAACCATTAAAAAAAAATGCAAATTTTATTTATTTTATTATTTCAATGATAACATTTGTATATAGTATATATTTTTTATTATACTGTACTAAAGTCTTTATTTTTCTTATAAACATTAACCTTTAGTAACGCACGCATTTTTAGAAAGTATTGTAATAAGCATATTTTATTATAAATATGCTTAAGTTTAAGCATATTTTTGAGCCTCTTTTACCTTTTTGCTTAAGCATACCCGAGCCTGTTCCAAAAATTTCATATGCTTGTTAAAAAAAAACATGTACAATTGGATTCTATTTGGTGCTAATTGGATACTCTGAACAACTGTTTTTCTTTGTCGATCATGCTTTTAAACTTTGTTATGTTGCCATATGTTATATTTGCTATATGTAGGTTAAGAGTTATGAAATACACTTCGAACTTTAAAATAAGTTGGTTATTGAAAAGTCACTTTTAAGTTTTCTAAGATTTTGGGGCTTCTAGTATTATTTTCTTTTCTTTTTTTTAAATTCTAAAAGTTGCATTGGTTGTGTTTTTTTGCTTGCATTAGTAATTTTCTAGTCCAACCAAGGTAAATGTGTCAGTACTTAAAATTATTGACATGACTTCTGATAGTTGTATATTATAACTTGTTTTTATCATAGTACTATAATCTTACATGTGCTATAATCTCATGAAATCTTAATACTATTAAATTTTCTACTTACATTAAAATATTTTACACTTGTGGGTGTAAATACCATGGTTTCTAGAAAAATAAAAGGCTGTTTATAAAACAACAAATCACTTGTTAACTTCCATTCAAACTGAAATACCCCAAAACTTATCTTTTTGACCCCTCATTTTGAGTTTTTAACTTAAAATGGCCAATAAATTATCTACAAAACGTAATCGTAGTGATGGGCTGTGATATTTAGGTATAATTTCAACGCCGTTTTGGAGTTCCAATTCATTTTTGCTTTAGCAATGTGACAGCTTTCTAAATCAGGACAAAACCTCACAAGAACATGAGATTTTTAAAATGTAGAAGACGTTTTTCTTGTATGGTTTGGCGTCATACACTTCCTGCCAAATTTATCCTGCTTTGTATATTTGTTGTTGACAGCTCCACTATTAATGTCAGTATAAAATCTGTAGGTATTTGTCTCAACTCTAATTTGATCTAAGATTTATAATCAAGTATTCGGCAGCCGTGAATTTTGTTAAAATGTTGTCGTACAGTTAAATACATTTTGCTGCTTTTCCGTACGGCTTGGATATTTTTGTCTTATGATAAGAGCGAACCCTTGAAAGAATTGTGACAAAAAAACGCGATGTATTTGTATCTATTTGCTCTTTAATAGTCACATAGTCCAGGATTTTGCAGTTATAAACGACTAGTTTGATTCAAAGTGATCAATACCTAATAACTAATACTTTCTAAAGTAATATAAAGTTGTAAAGTGATCGCAAATAAATATTACAAACAGTTGAAACTATTTTTAAGTAAGTTCATTAAAAAATTTTTCTACCTAATTGAAGAAAAAAGTAAATGTTTTTTAGCTTATTAATTTCGTTGTAAATAAATATACACTAATTATGTCCGTTACCGGCAAGTTGGTATTTAACTTTAACTTTTGTGTTATTTAGATATTCACCGATTGGCTTGAAGAAGAAATTCTTAAATTTTCGGACCATGTTCAATCAATGGATATCGCAGCATTTAATAAACTGTAATTTAATGATGTTAATAAAACAAAATACAGGATTTTTGTTTTAATCTAAAATAAATAAATATAGGGTTTCCTTTGTTTCGAGTATATGCAAAAGGATTGACTTTAAGGTTTCATAACTACGCAATTCTAAATTTATTTAAAAAACACGCAGCGATTTTCATTAAACTTAATAGACAGCTTTGATTTATTATTCAAGTTACTATTTAAGGCTCTGAGAAGGAAAGCTTTTTTATACCGTTTATAAGTGAATTCAGCGTTGCGTGTTTCACCGGGTTTAAGAAAACTATGGTTATACTTTACCATTTTTAATTTTATCACCCAAGTTGGGTACACAGGTGTAAATAAATTAATTTTTATGCTAATTCTTTAATAGTCTAAAGTTGTTCTTATTCTATTTAGTACCTGGGTCCAATTTTGTGGAAAAATTCAGCGTATTGTTAATATTAAAGAAAAAACATTTCCGCAATTCAAATCTAAATTAAGACGTTATTTAGTACTTACGGATTTTAATATATTTTATATATATATATTTAATATATATATTTAATAATAATATATATATTTAATATATTTTAATATATAATATATTTTAATCTTTGTCACTTTTAAAATTTATTTAACTAAATTAGCACCATAAAATTAAAAATCTAGACCATTTAACAATATTAGGAATTTCAATGTCCTTATCATAATTTCATTGAAAATATATATTCTCTTAAAGTTACCTACATTTTTCTTGATGTATTTTATAATTTTGGAACAGAATTTTTATTTGAATTTTGAATTATTATATATATATATATATATATATCGAATCACATCAAGTTTATAACCAAAAACAGAAAATTTTTGTCATTTTTATTACTATATTTTAATCATTTCTTTGTAATTTTTTTTTTCTTTTTAATTTTATTTCTTAACATTTAAAAATTGTCTTTTTTTAAATGCTTTTGCTTATATATTACGGATTATTATATATTACGGATATTTATTTGCGTTACTATTGGGGCTTGGTGATAAGGCTATTTTATGCCTTCTTCTTGCTCCAGCCAATTGTACTTTTTATATTGTTGTACTTTGTAAATATTTTTAATGGCGAAATAAACTAATAAACTAAAATTAAACTAATAAAAGAATATCTATATAAATGAAGATTTTTGCGCTGAGACCAGGACCGTCTAGAGGAGGGGGAGGGGGTAGAAGGAGCGTACGTGCCCCGGACGCCAAGATTATAGGGGCGCCAAAAAATGATAATTTTTTTTTTAAGTGTTTATACAATGTTTAACTTTTAATTTAAATATTTTGTGATTTCATACTATAATTTCATGAAATAAATAAAAAGTTTATTTAATTTACAACGTCGGTTTTCATGTTTACGGATTATTATGTTTAATGCAGTGAGTTTGCTTTCAGAGAGAACTTTTTTTGTATATATGTATATTATGAAAGTGACGGCGTATTACAATTCGGCATAAAATCTCACGAAAGTATTAACGTGCATATTTCAATGTCAATCTATGCAATTGCATCTCAAAAGTCAAATCTGCTTATTTAAAGGTGAAATAAGAAAAGAAAAGAAAGAAAAAAAAAAGAATAAATTAAACAATTATTTTATAGGTATAAAAATTGAAAAAAGTAAATGTAAAACAAGGTTAAAAGATTTTTTTTTTAATTTTTTTTCTGTTTACATTTGCCGTAAAATAAATACTACCCGACGGGCATTTGTTTTTAAAAGTTACGTTCTAAATGTGTTTTAAACGTCTTTTAAACGTCTTTTAAACATTAATGTTTAAAAGACGTTTAAAAGACATTTAAAATACATTTAGATCGTAACTTTTAAAAATAAATGCCCGTCGGGAATATTTTACAAGAACAAAGAAAACAAGGCTTCTGAAAGAAGATCAACTGATCTTATCATCAAAACCTTTACAATTTATCATACTATAAAGACTGAAAATATAAATCCAAAAAACGGCCGTAATAATAAATATATAATAATAAATTCATAATATTAATCACGTATCTGTAATAATAATTCTCACAAATCTGTTATAAAAATCCATTATAATAAATTTTATAGATCTGTTATAAATTAAAGAAAATAAATTTATTAATATAAATATTACTATAAATCTCATAAATCAGGTCTATACTTCAAGCTAATTTTAAAAACAGAAAAAACGGATAAAAGGATCAAAATTAGGCAGTACTATTTTATTCCAAAGGTAAGGTGCTCTATAATTAATACAAAATTTATTAAATTTTGTTCTACAAAACGGTTCATTTAGCAAAACTTGATTTCTTAGTGAGTACTTATTAGTAAGTTTTAATGTAAAAAGGTTGTTAAAAACAGGTGGAGATAAATTGTTTTTCCACATATAATTAAAATATAAAACATTAAAAACGTTAAGTTTGTAGACATTAAGTATTTTCATTTCATCAAAGAAAGGCTTTGAATGTGTAGAGCGATCCACATAATTAATCGCGCGAATCGCATGTTTCTGTTGGCGATATAGACGTTGTAGTTTACTTTTTTCGGTACTACCCCATGCAATATTTGCGTAGATTATATAGCTGTGTATGAATGAGTAATAGAGCTGCATAAGGCTTTTTTTGCTTAAGTAAGGTCGGGCTTTACACAAAATGCCAATATTTTTAGATACCTTGGTGGTTATATAATTAATATGGTTTTTCTAAGTAAAATTCTTATCAAGATAAACACCTAGGAATCTTATAACAGAATCTCCTTTCATCAAAATAAATTTGAGGCATAATATCTGGTAAAGAACGTTTTTTTGAGAAGGAATGAAAAAGAATCCATTTAGCCTTTTTAGTATTTAACGTTAACCTATTACATTTAAACCATTTAGAAATGTTTATAAGTTCATTATTAGTTTTTGAGAAAAGTTTGTAAACATCAGTGTGGGATTGAAATAAGTTAGTGTCATCGGTTTAAATAATACTCATCAAGTTAGAGGCTTTGTTTAGATCATTGACATATATAAGAAATTTAAAAAGATTTAAATAAGTATAGATTAAAAAAACAAAAACAAATAAAAACGTAACACAAGCTAAAAGAAAAAAATGTCTGAGGTTGCGAGGTAGCGTGAAATATTGCGCTGTATTTTAGATGTAATATTGTTTCTCTCATCGCAAAACTTGGCGTTTAGAGGTAAACTTTATTTTTACTTAGCTATTGATAATTATTGTTAATCAATAAACCAACAAGGGTAACTTCAAATTCTGCTTCCTTAATAGACAACATTATGACAACGGATACTTTTAATGAATCCATCAAAAAGGGTTTAATTAAAAGTGATGTTTCTGATCATTTTCCGATTTTTTTCTCAATAAATATTGACATTGAGTTAGTACCGATAACAAATCAAGTTTTCTTTAAACGATGGTTCAGTGAAGCAAATTTAACGTCGTTTAATGAACAACTATCATTACTACACTGGAAATATATAAATTTCTCATCTGAAGCAAATCTAGTTTATAACTTGTTGTTTAAAACATTTTTTGAAGTTTATGACGCAAACTTTCCTCAATACGAAGTAAGTCTTACAAAAAAAGTATTAAGTCACCATGGATTACAAAAGAACTTAGAAAATCGTCCAAAGTTAAACAAAAATTATATATAAAGTATTTAAAGTCCAAAACTGATAAAAATAAGGAGATTTATAAAACTTACGTAAAGCATTTTGAATGTCAAAGAAAAAACTTAAAAAAAAATACTACTCAAACTTACTAGAGAAGTTTAAAAATAACTCAAAGCGCACGTGGCAAATTTTAATTGAAATTACTGGCAACTATAAGAGTAAAACAAGCAACTTGCCTAAAGTTATTAAAAACAATCATGTTTTTTTAAATAATCCAAAAGATATAGCAAATCAGATAAATAACTATTTTATAACTGTTGGTCCAAATTTAGCTAAAAATATTCCAATTATAACTAACTCAACAAATTATTTTACCCTTCCCATAATTTCCGTACTAAATAATTTTGAAATTTCCATGAAAGAATTTGAATGTGCTTACAAAATGCTAAAAACCAATAAAGCAGAAGGCCCGAATGGAATAAATAGTAACATTTTAATTGCATCTTATGAGAACATAAAAGCTATTCTTTTCTAAGTGTTTAGTTGTTTAATAAAACAGGGGATATTTGATATTTGATATTTGATGAAAACTTAACATGGAAAAATCATATCGAAACATTATGCAATAAAGTCTCAAAAAATATTGGAGTGTTGTATAATGCGAGAAATTTTGTAAATAGACATGCATTAATTCAACTTTATTACTCGCTAATCCAATGTCATGTAAACTATGCTAACATTGCGTGGGGTAGTGCTAACAGAAGCATCTAGCACGTCTAATAAATTTTAAAGATCGTTATACTCATGCAAAACCTCTTTTAATAGACATGAATATTCTTAATATATATCAACTAAATGTTTTTAATGTTCTTTGCTTTATGTACAAATGTAAGATAAACTTAACCCCAATATTTTTTCAAAATTTATATGCTATAAAGCCAAGAAACAAATATGAATTAAGAAATGACAATCTTATTCATCAACATTATTCGCACACAAATTTTGGAAGATCTCTTATATCATATCGCGGAGCTTTTATGTGGAATCAAATAGTGTTAAAAAACTTTGATTTTTCTAAAAACTGTAGTTTTCTTACTTTCAAAAATAAACTAAAAAAATTATTTTGACAATTGATAACATCTTCGAGTTTTTTTGAATATTTTATTTAAATTTTTAGTTTTATTACATATTTTGACATTTTTTAACGGTATTTTATCTTTGGTTTTGGCTTGTATTGTAAATATCGGTATTTAAAATCTTGTATTGTAAATATCGGTATTTTGTTTTTATTTATTTTGTATCGCATTGTTAAACGGTTCTCGGTGACAGGATCTTGCCATCCTCTTCGAGTTTCCGTGTTCTTTTTATTTTATGTAAAACGATATTATACCAAATAAAATTGTAATAAGAACAAAAAGAAAAAAAAAAAA